GCTCCCTGCAAGTCCTTGTCAATCCATCAACCACGCCCTTCCCACGCGCCACAGAACTTCTCGTACGGCGGGAACATCTCGACCACGAGCATCGAGATCGTGGAGCGTCTGACCCGGTATTGGATCATCTTCCAGCACCATTTGAACGCCAACGAGGACTTCGTGCGGGACGACGGGAAGCAGAATACGGAGCAGTTGACCAACACCCTGGTGCCCCTCCAGGAGAACTACAAGTACGCGCACATGCTCGGGCAGCCCGCCCTCTGCGCCCACGAGGCCGAATTCCAGGCCTACGGCGTCCTCCTCACGGGGGACTTGAAGCAGGCCTTGAAAGGCGGGGTCGGCGTGAGCCGCTCTCCGGAGGTACGGCTGGCAGTGGACGTGCTTACCTGCGTGGAAACGGACAATTTCGCGCGGTTTTTCAGTCTTTTGCGCCGCGCTCCTTACCTTCCGGGGTGTCTGATGGCCAAATACGTGGAACGGATGCGCGAGAAGGCCTTGGAAGTCTGGGGCCGTGCCTACAACCCGACCAAGGCCCGCGGCACTGCATTTCGCACCGCCGATGTCCTGCGGGCGCTGTGCATGCAGGACGAGGACGAGCTGAAGGCCCTGGCAGTGAGCCGACCCTGGGTGGTGGTAGGAGAGGGGAGGGAGGCGGGAAGCACCAAGGTGCGGCGGGCCACGGCTGCGGAACGGGAGGGAGGGCTCCACTCCCCGGGCCTCTCCATGGGCGGGGCTGCCGGGGTGGCGTGGGACGAGGAGAAGCGACTCGTCCAGCGCCGCAAGGCTCGTGCCGCCATGATCCTCAAGTCGTCTTTCCCTTTCGTCCCCGCCATCGAGGCCAAAGCGGACGGGGTACCTTTCCGGGACTTGACCCGCGGTTGGCAGGGCGCGCTCTCTCTTTCCAGATCTCGGGATCGCCAGATGCTGCCCAGCCCTGTGCCCTCCCTCTCAAGCAGGTCGACGGGGATCGCCCCGCCTCCCTTCCCCGCCTCTTTGCCTAGTCCCAGCACGTCATCGCCTCCCTGCTTCCCTACGTCCATCCAGAAAACTCGGCCGACGACACGAGTCCCTCCCGCGCTGGGGGAGGTGAGGGGCGCAACGGACGCGGAGGCAGGCTTGCTCCGAGACAGGCTCGCGACCCCTGCAGCTGGGAGTCAAGCGAAGAGGGGGGCGACGAACGCGGGCAGGGGCGAAAAGCATCATGCGCTCTTCCCGCAGGTTCCCACGGCCCCCAGCCCCCTTCTGCCCGGAAGTTCCATGTTCCCTCCTGCCCCTGCCTTCACTGCCGGGACCTCGGCCCAAGTGACGAAAGGAAAAAGAGGCCAGGTTCCTTGGATGGAAAAGACTGCCTCGGGAGAAAGAGTTGTTAACGAGTCGGAGGGAGCGTCCGGCAGGACCGGGAAAGGGTCGGCGCTGCCCTCTATCCCGCCCTCCAAACCTGCCCTCCTTCCATCCTTCCAAAAGCCGCCTGTCGCGGAGCCCGTGGGCACGTGGGAAGGAAGGCAGGGGGGAGAGGGAGGCATGGGGGGAGATGCGATGACGGAGGAGCGAGACCGGTGGATGGAAAGCATGGCGGGGACTCTGCGACGCGGAAATACGGAGAGGGTTGGCAAGCAAGAGCAGAAAGGCCAGTCCTCAGACGGCAAGCATCACGGTGGCCCCCTTCCCCCCGAGCCCATCCATGATTCGTGGCATGGAAACGAAGAACGTGCTCAGGCGCTCTTGGCCGAAGCGCGTCTCTCCCAGGTCCAAGTGGCGGCGCGGAAAGGAGAAGTCAAGGAGCGAGTGCGCCGGGCCCTGCGCAAGCTCTCGCTTCTACACACCCGAAGGCGCCGATGCCAGGCCTGGGAGAGGTGGGTGGCCGTGGCCCGGCACGAGCAAGAGCAGGAAGACCGGGAGCGCCTCCGCTTTGAGACGGTGCTCGCCACAGGAGTCCTTCCCCCGCACCTCACCGGAGCCGCACCTGCTGTGTCGGCCTCCTCGTTGCTGTCGTTGCTCCAGCCCCTCCGCCCCCGCCTCCCCCTGAGCGATAAGCAGGTGGCGGGCTCGGGCTCCCGCCCTCATCGACGCTTCCTTCGTTTCCCCAGCTCGGTCGCCTCCCTCCGCCTCTCCCCCTCCCTCCCCCC